CAAATCATTTCTACATAATTAGTTGGACATTCCTCAGCATCTAGAAGGGTCTTTGAAAAAAAAAATTTATTATTATTATTAGAGCCAGGGCCTCACTCTGTCACCCAGGCTGAAGGGTAGTGGCATGCTCACGGTCACACCAGTGTCAACCCGCTGGGCTCCAGCGATTCTCCTGCCGCAGCCTTCCAAGTAGCCGGAACTACAGGCAGGTGCTATCACGCCTGGCTAATTTTTGATTTACTATAGAGACGAGGTCTTGCCATGTTGCTCAGGCTGGTCTCAAACCTGTGGGCTCAGGCAATCCACTCACCTTGGCCTCCCAAAGTGCTGGGATTATTGGCTGAGCCACGGAGCCTGGCCTCAAAACCACGTTTGAAAAAAATCCTTAGGAAATCCAAAGCCTAGAACAAAAACTAATTGTACCTCTCCAAAGTGACTGAAAAACAAAAATTCTTTAGGAACTACTACCCTTATCTTCACTGCTATACTCACAATTAGCTTTTAGAGCTAATTCTTATTTATGTTTTGGAAACTGATGTAGACCATGACAAAAATAAACTAAATCCATCTTAGTTTAATCCTAGATAGTTGTTTCAATTGTAAAGACTTTTAGAAACAAGCCTCATTTTTTTCTTAAGGATAAAGGAATTAGATTTTTTTTTGAGTTGGAGTCTCACTCTGTCGCCCAGACTGGAGTGCAGTGGCTGCTCCCGGCCATCGCAGCCTTGGCCTGCTGGGCTCCGGCGATCCTTCCGCCTCAGCCTTCCGAGTAGCCGGAATTACAGGCATGCGCCACCACGCCCGGCTGATTTTTTTATTTATCATAGAGATGAGGTCTCGCCAAGTTGCCCAGGTGGGTCTTGAAGCCGCGGGCTCAGGCAATCCACTCACCTCAGCCTCCCAAAGGCACGGGATTACAGGCTGAGCCACTGAGCCCTGTTGGAATTAGATATTTTTATCTTCTTGTGTTTATGTAAACCTAGCTTTTATTTTTTTAAGTTTTAAAACAAGTTTATTAAAGAAAGAAGAGAGGAAGGAAAGAGAGACATGCCAGAGCTGGCATGAGTGAGAGAAATCGCCGTAAATCTAGCTTTAAGGAAAACATTTATCCTATTTTGGGGTGTTTCCCAAATCTATACAAGTTCACTTACTTTTATGCCATAGTTATATATTTACATGACCTTGCACAATAATTGATCTGCTTAGAGAAAAAGATACTTCTAATATTAAATGCCAACATACCATAAACCAAGATAACTTAATTATTAAATAGTAATTTTCTTACAAACAGATATGTTAATACTCAGGTTTATTTGTTGATATTTTATTCTAGTTGATGGCTTCTATGGTTGTAAAAGGCAACTAAGCTTCTCTTTCACAGTATTAGCCATTCTACTGGCTCCTGAAATATAAAAAAATTCCCAACTCCTCCCCCCATCCAGTAGCACTGCTTCTAAATACAAGAAAACAGAATTATATTGAAAAAGGAATGTTTTATGGTCATAATCTCTTACTTAAGGAAACAGTTTTGGGATTTTTCTTTGCCCCTTTCCCTTGACTGGAATTTACAAGCTTAACAATATCTGAATTGTTATCACTATACATAGTATATGGTCAAAAACCCAAGAATGAATTCAAATAGCCTTCAAGAGACTGGATGCAAAACATATAGTATAAAGTCTCTTATAAAAATAAACTGTAAATGTGTGTTCATCTGTAAACTTTTTGTAGCTAAACACTAATAGTGAGGAGAGATATGACTCCAGAAATCGGGCTAGGCATGGTGGCTCACGCCTATAATCCCAGCACTTTGGGAGGCTGAGGTGAAAGTATTGCCTGAGCCCACAAGTTCAAGACCAGCCTGGGCAACTTGGCAAGACCTCATTCACTACAATAAATCAAGAAAAATTAGCCAGGAATGATGGTACATACCTGTGGTTCCAGCTACTTGGAAGGCTAAGGTGAAAGGAACAGCTGAGTCTAGCACATCGAGGCTGTGGTGGCCGTGAGCGTGCCTCTGCACTCCAGCCTGGGCAACAGAGTGAAACTCCAACTCAAAAAAAAAAGACGAGCTTGGTGGCTCAACCTGTAATCTCAGCACTTTGGGAGGCCGAGGCAAGTGGACTGCCTGAGCCCGTGGGTTCGAGACCAGCCCGGGCAACTTGGCGAGACCTCGTCTCTACAATAAAATCAAAAATTAGCCGGGCATGGTAGTGTGTGCCTGTATTTCTGGCTACTTGGAAAGTTGAGGCAGAAGGATCGCTGGAGCCCAGCAGATCAACTCCAGAATCAGATAAAGGTCTATGAGTATCTTAAGCTCAGAACAATTCCTACCGTAAAGTATAGAAAACTTAATCATCAGGCTTCTCTGGCTGTACAGCACAGTAGCACCTTCCTTATGTGGTATTCCCTCTGCAAATTTAGATTATCTAGAATACAGTTAAGAATTAGATTTTAGCTGGGCTCGGTGGCTCAGCCTGTAATCCCCTGCTTTGGGAGGCTGAGGTGAGTGGATTGCCTGAGCCCACGGGTTCAAGACCCGCCTGGGCAACTTGGCGAGACCTCACCTCTACAATAAACCAAAAAATTAGCCGAGTGTGGTAGTGTGCGCCTGTAGTTCCAGCTACTTGGAAGGCTAAGGCGGAAGGCTTGCTGGAGCCCAGTAGGTCGAGGCTGCGGTGGCCACTGCACTCCAGTCTGGGTGACAGAGTGAGACTCCTACTCAAAAAACAAAACAAAACAAAAAAATTTCGATTTTTTTTTTTTTAGTTGGGGTCTCTGTGGCACATCACAGCTCACTTCAGCCTCA